AGCAGACGCACGCAGTGACATGTGGCATCATGTCGCTGTTGCAGCTTTGAGTCAGGACAAGCCCACGGACACTGCTGAGCCCGTTTGTAGAGGATGTTTCTAACCTACACAAACCAAGGGAGCGAAGACGTCCAGCTCAGCAAAGCACCTCGCCGACAGACGTGCCCACTTAGTGGTAATGTTAGATATTAACAAATCAGTTAGACAATGTGTTGAATCAGATGTGTTAGTAATGCAATTTAGTAAGATTTAAAGTCTGCTCTAGTCTGTTTTGTTTCAAGGTTAGCAGACAGAATGGTGATTCTGAAAAGTGAACCACAGGTACTTATGACACCAATTCTTTAATCTTGTATTAGAATATTATGTCTGAATAAATGAATGAATGCCTTAGCTACACACCATGTGACAACATACACACACATTGAAATTCTTCATTTTGTTATGACTAGGTAAAAATGCAGCTGCTCAAAGCATGTGGAGCACTAGGTAAGAGATGGAGTCTTTGGACTGACTTCATCTGGGGATTTTGTAATTTTTCTGGGTAAGGGGTTAGCCCAAATCTTATAAATGTATTAGGTTCTGTGTGGCGGCCTGTGTGTGTGTCTTGAAAAGGGATCAACCCGGGTCGTGTTTGTAATTTTGCTTGTGATTAAAATAAACCAGCACTATATGAAGAAAGATGGACTCCTTCGTTATTCAGAACAATTAAAGAACTGGGGTACTACAATGCCCGTGGGAAATTTGACTCCTCTCTTTACCTTGTTAGCATGAGCATTCATTGCTATTCACTGTTGAATTTGGGCCACAGTTAATGCATCATAACAACAAACCATGCATTTTCATTAGTAGTGGATGTTAAACAGTGTTTTTTTTTATCTATCAGGGCCGACACAGTGGTGGTAGAATTGGTGCTAAGGTAGAGTAGGCTACGTTAGCATCATGGCTAAAGGTTCCAGGTTGACTGTGGCTCGAACCGGAACCTTCATTGTTTCAAAAACAGAATGCCAAAATTTCATTTCTATTTTTTTTCCAGAAAATATTGAGCTTAAATGAAAAGTGTGATCTAGAACAAACGGTAAATATTCATGTACTGTATAAGAAGAAACATGAAGAATGAGGGCAATGGTAAAAAAGATGCTAAAGTGTTATATTAAATCAGAAGTGTGAAGACTCTTGAGCACTGAAGAAAATATTTCACAAAGGTGTGAGTTTTAAACAGATGAACAAAATCAGGACATTTCTTTTTTTCATTCAATTCTTGAAGCCCCAGGTATCTCATTCATCTGAATGACAGTTCCTCTGGGTCATCACCTCCCTCTGAACAGGTTACTGTGTATTACTGATTTCGAGAGACTTGGTTGGAGGCTTAATACTCATACATATTTACTTTGCCTGCAGAATCCCCTCTGCAGTCACAGTAACCAGTCACCAGTAGTGACAGAAATTAGAGCACATTAGAGCCATGCTGCTTTTCTGCCTTTACTAGGCACTTAAAGGATCATTCTCCCCTGCTTCAGAACACAGGAACTTGACACATGCCTGTTTCCAAGGTAACAGCAAAGAATATCTCAATTATCCATATGAAATTAAGGCCTTGCAGAAAATGACAGAGGAAACATGATCCTTGTACACCATCATATATCCTTCTTCTCTACCTAGGGTGGAGGTTTGGTTCTGTCTATTGGGAATAAAATGAAACCAGAGAAATACCTTTTAAGCAAAATATGTATATCGCACCATGTTGACCTGAAAAATGGCTGCACATTAGTTTGTTCCGTATATAAATTATTTAAAAAATGAAATGAAAATGAATGAAGATGCTATTAAATATGTCTTATCATTAAAAAACAAAAATTAAATTGAGGGATAATAATAAATTATGACGTAATTTTTATGACCCTATCTGTCAAAATGACAGTCAATGAGAAAGTCTAGTGTGACCTCCGCAATACACTGCTAGAAAGTTTGGAATATAAAATGGTGAGAGCTGTGTCATTTGTGTTCATTGTAGATCTTGATGACACTGACTAGGGTGATGGGGACTCAACTCAGACTGGACTCGGACTGGGACACTGGGAACTCGACTACAACATTGCTTATAAGCACCGTTGGTTCCCTCACTTGCAGCTTTTCTTTATGTCTTAGTCCCACCCATGTGAAATGCAAGGAAACATGCGGGGGGGAAACCTTTTGGTTCATACAAAACTAGGAGCAGCTCTGATGTGTGATTTTGTTTTGGGATCTTACTGCTACTGGGAATCACTGTACTAGCTAACCGTATAAATCAGTTTTAAAAAAGTAGGCTTAGCTCCACCGCAGCCAAGTATAACAGTAAAATGCTGTTTACACATAACTGCCTAATAATGTCTATAATAATTTGCCTACAGAATAAGTATTTTTATTTTCAATTTTTTAAGTAAATTTTGCAAAACTTTTAAACTATTGCTTCCAAAATCCTGACTGAGAATCTTGCAATGTTCCACTTGACGTCTTGGTTTGGTCTGGCTGAGCAGTTTCAAATGAAGCTGAGTCAGCTGTGTAGTGCCAGGACAAGTTAGATAATGCTGTCTACAGATAATTCTTTTAATTTAAATTAGTTTGAGATGATGATCTCTGCGAAGTGCATTTAGTGTGCCTTTGGCAACCAAAAATATTTTGAAGAAGTCTTTTTTCCCCCAAGTGTAATCAACATTTTGGACTCGCTTGAATGTTTATTGCTTAGTTTTAGGTATGTTATCTGTAATTTTTTTTTACCTCTGTGCTGTAGAACACTCTAAACTTTTGTTGTAGTGATATCTTGTTTCCAAATTTGTTCTGTATGTTAATTACTGTACTTCTATGCTTTTGGTACTGGCAATTTTTCACACTGGAGGACAAGATAATGATTCTATTCCATTTAAATTGATAATTTTTTATGATCAAATAGGCTAAAAAATTAATCAATAATTTTCTCAAATAATTCTTTGTTTTGTTTTGTTTTTGTTTCCTATGGCATTCAATATTAGGTGAGAGGGAAACAGTATTTCTATTTTCTGTATGTCCTGCAAATATAGTGAATTGACAATAAAAATCTTTGATCTCAATCTTGTTTTTAAAATTGTTAAAATGTCAGTTTCCCAGTTTTCCCACTTGCTGGCTGGGCTATGTGACTGAATGACGGAGTAGCGTACTCACAAAAACAGAGACCGGTGTTCTGTCAGATTTTGCTACCTTGTCGAGATATACTACCTTGTTGCTAAATCTATGGACTGACTAACCCCACCCCGATCCATCCCCCTAACCCTAACCACTTTGTGAACGGTGGGTAGCACGTCTTGATGGGTAGCAAAATCTGACAGAACACCCGGATCATTCCGACCATCGACCTTCGCTTGAAAGCATCACGTAATCGTGACGTACTTGCCCACCTGAGGAGGGTGGGTCATCTGACTCTCTATTATCGTTTTCATTGGCCCCAGCGACCGTTCAATCATAAACTCACCACGTGGTTGATAATAACATGGATGGGCTCGAGGGGGCGGTGGTGGACTGTCAGCGGTTTTCCAGAGTTATGCTGTTAGCCATGAACGGATGAAGTTAAGTGACTTAATGATTCATCGAGCAAGATTAAACGTTAAATTGTGAGTTATTCTCCACGGGTGATTTTTGGATTTCGTCGCCGTGTGCACGGAGGAGGCGTGTTAACGGTAGTGTAGTTAGCTAAGTTACGGTATCGTTAGCCATCAAGAAGAAGTGTCACCGCTTGCACCAGCTCTCTCAGCAGGGGACGAGGAGAGCCTGTCTATGGTCATGGCTAGCTCGGGGGCCACATCTAGTCCTATGGTGAACCTGGCGCCTAAGACTAAAACGAAGAAGAAACATTTTGTGCAGCAGAAGGTGAAAGTGTTTCGGGCCAGTGACCCCGTCCTGAGTGTCTTTATGTGGGGCGTCAATCACTCGGTGAGTCCGTGGAAGCTAACATTGCATCATATGCTAAAGGCGACCACAGTGTATCATGTAAATTCAGCTAACAGCTAGCTCAGTTAGCAGAAGTGTTAGCAAGTGAGACAGGGTGCCAAGCTAGGATCATAGCCGTGGGAGCATGTTTCAACTGGTGGGTGCAAAGCTAGGTTTACACATTAAGTATTGAACTGATGATAAAATAACGACCACCAACACTTGTTTTATCGCACAGCAGGCTATGATCTGACAGCAAGCATATACAAAGTACACAACATATACAGGCAGCGGCTATGCACTGACTGTTATGAAAGCCAGCTTTACAAAATACCTTGATAAGAGCATCAGACACTGGCACAGTATCACTGCCAGAGCAAGTGTCATCAGACGAACAATACTGAGTAAGGTCACACACTTGTTGCAAACTGGCCAATCCGACTGAAAATTTGGAACCCAAGATCCACTATTAACCACGTACTAAGATCAGAATGTTATTATAATATGACCATGACAATATAAAAAAATTAAACATTCATTATTATTTTGTTTTAATTTTAATTGTGTTGGACATGCAGGTCCTCTACCATCCTCAAGCAGCACCCTCTGCAACCCCTATTCCCACAGCCTTGGCCAGTATATCAACCTATGAGGGTGCTACACCTAAATGTGTGACTGTGATACCCAAGGCTGGAATAGAAAAGCGGGTACTTGTAATGGGGCTCGAACCCCTCAGGGTTAACTGTCTTGATAAATGATTAATCGTTTCAGTGTCTTATTATTAGAAAAAAAGGCTACAAATTTTCAGCTTTTCGCAGATATGAGAGTTTGCTGCTTTTCTTAGCCTGGTATGTCAGTAATTTGAATATCTTCAGGTTTTGGACTGCTGGTTGGACAAAACAGCACGACAGAGGACTTGGACTTTACTGGAAATTTTAAACTGCATTTCCCCCCACAATCTTTAAAAACATTTATAGACTCAATAACCTTTTTGATTAATTGCAGATTGCAGCACTAATATCATCTATGACTGGTTAGCCATCTTCCATCATGTGACAGTCTTGAACAATGATTCTTGCCAAAATCTTATTTAACAATTTTGTTTTAGTATATGTCCTCATTTGTTGTAAAATTGTTTTATGAAATTTTGAGCTACAGTGATTAGTCGATTGACTTATTAGTCAGTTAAAGGAAATTAATAAACTATTTGGATTAATTAATGGATCATCTCAGTCTTTTACATACTAAAATACCAAACATTTGCTGTTTCCATTTTGTCAAATGAATCAGTTTTCTGATTTTCTTTATCTTACATGGTCATAAATATGCAAATGTTCATATTTCAAAGCTGGCACCAGGAAGTTTTGGCATTTTTATTTAAGAATTGCTTAAATCAAACATTTTTATAATTTTTTACATTTTTATAATTTTTTTTAATAATTAATAACAAAAATAATCAGTTGATAAACCAATTATCTGGATTTGTTACCAAAATACTCAGTTTGCTCAAGTGTAGGACAAAGACAAGCGACAAAGTCTCACATTTGAGAAACAGTATCCATTGAATGTTCAGATGAAATATGACCCAGACTTTTCATTATGAAAATAGTTGTTGATTAATTTTCTCTTGATTGACCAAACGATTAGTTGCTTAATCCCAGTCACTAATGAGGGCTGTTTAGTGAGTGGCTCTCCTCTCCGCAGATCAATGATCTCAGCCAGGTGCCTGTTCCTGTCATGCTGCTGCCTGATGACTTTAAAGCCAACACCAAGATCAAAGTCGACAACCACCTCTTCAATAAGTAAGACACAAAGAGAAATGCATATAGATGCAGCACTGTTGAAATAGAAGTAAATAAAACCTCTGTAACAGACTTTGTCTGTCTGGTTTCTGGTACTTACTAGAAATGTGTTCCTGATAGATACAGTCAGTTACAGTCGTGAAAAAATTAGGACACCCTTTGAGAGAATGTGTATTTTGTAACATGTTTTAATATATGGTTATTTAACCTTAATTTGAACAATTTTTATAGAATTACATTTACAGAAGATCTTAAAGACTTTTCTTCAGTTTTACTTGTTTAGTTGTATTACTTTAATCTCTCTGTATTGTTAAAATTGAGATTAAATAACCATATATTAAAACATGTTACAAAATACACATGCTTTCAAAGGGTGTCCTAATTTTTTCACATGACTGTAAATCTTGTTTTGCCTGACTTGCAGAAGAACATAAAAAGATTCGAAGTCCTGAGGTCTGTGTTGGAATGAGCTTGACAGATGTTTTGGATTGTTAAGACTGTGTGTGTTGGCACTGACCTGCACCTCCTCACTTCCTCCTCCTCCTCTCCCAATGCAGAGAAAACCTTCCAGGACACTTCAAGTTCAAAGAGTACTGTCCTCAGGTTTTCCGAAATCTAAGGGAACGGTTTGGCATTGAGGATCTGGACTATCAGGTTAATGATGATTCAGTACACAGACACGCTTATACACTTAATGTTACTTTATTGAAAGTACAAAGGGATTTATCTAGAAGAGCTCATTTCCTCAATACTAATCGGTTGTGCACATTTTGTTCATTAGTGTTGTTCCTGAAATATGTTTTATTATGTTAAAAGACAAGTGATTCTAAGGTTACCTGTTTGTCTTACAACCCCCAGGTGTCGCTGACCCGTAGCCCTCCAGCGAGGAGTGTTGACGACCAGGGAGAGGGTCTGCTCCTCAACTGCTATGACCGAACACTGGTCATCAAGCAGATCTCCAGTGAGGATGTTGCAGACATGCACAGCATCCTGTCTGAGTATCACCAGGTAAGGCCTGGATGGTTAAAGGTGACGTCTGCTGATATTTTTTATTTTTCTTATGATCAGGAAATGCCATTATGAGTTAGTTTGGCTCTTAATACATTTCACTACATTGTCTGTGGCTCTCAGCCCCAGACCCACTAGTTCCTACTGAAGAAGGAAATCTTTATAAACGGCACTCAAATGTATCATTTCAGTTAGGGCTGGGCCAGTAAGTCAAGTTATTTACAGTGTATGAAATGTCTTCATCGTGAAGATCATGTCATTACAACATGCACAGAAATGTTCTTCCATAGATAACACAGTGGCACCTATTGTGCAATATGGACTGCCAGGCCTTATGCAAACTCTCAGGTTGTTTTGCCCTGTTAGGAGTTAAAGCCACAGCAGCCAACAGACCAGACTGTTCCCTGGTTGTGTTGTCCCTACCTGTTGGTAGCTAACAACTGACTGCTGATATCAGGCTTGTGCCTAGAAACACAAGCAGCTGGATTAGAGGAACTAGTGTGTGGACATTTCTGATGAAACAGATTTGTAGATGTTTCAGTCTTGTTCGGAGAACCGTCCCTAAGCTCGTTCTAGTGTCGTTGTTAAAAAATCAAAGGGTGTCTGGTCTCTGTAGTTTCTTGCAAAGTTTTTAGCAAATGTTACCCAAAAAATGTAAAGGGTATAATTGTTTGGGGACTATTTTTAGCTGTGGATCAATACACGTTTTATTCAGGGCTGGGAGTACTTGCAGCAGGGCAGCATATCTGGCACCGCATCAACATCAACAACTGTATGTGTGTTCACGATAATGAAGGAACTTGTCAGTCAGCCCAGCAGTGTGACTCATGGGTTTTAATGGTTTCTGGACAACAATAGGACTCGGTGGCACAGAGGAATAAGATGCAGCATTTTGTATTGCTTTGTAAGTAGCATTTCTTTGTTTTTATTTGTGGGATTTGTTGACAATTTGACAAATACAGAATATCACCTGCCTTGTCCTTTAACATTCAAAGTTCACAGATGTCCTGGTTTTGAACTTGTGTTCAGTTTGTTTACATAAAACATGTTAAAATGTTAGTTAATTGATTGAATTTTAATCTGAACTGAGACTTGGAGCCAGGTACAAACATTTTCATCCATAGGACTGGTATTATGCCATTTTATGGCGTAAATTTTTTAACGTGACAAAGTAACTGCTGTAGGAACCTAACGAGCAGAGGAAGAAAGTAACTAAGTACATTTACTCAAGTGATTAAATACAATTGTGAGTTATATGTACTTGAGTATTTTCATTTTCTGCTACTTCAACTTTATATTTCAGAAAAAAATATTGTGCTTTGTACTTACTGCAACTATTTCTTAACTTTAGTTACTTTTCAAAGAACAGTACAAGATTTATGCAGGATCAGTGCTCCTCTCACACACACCCACAGCTGAGCAGAGGATGTGAAGGATTACTCTGTAGTTCAACAGTCAGCCAGTAACCGACTGTATGAGAAGTTTATAAACAGCTGGTGAACAAGCAGAAAAAAAACCTGTAGAAATGTGACTTATTCAGTCACTGAAGTCCATTTTACCTCTAAACCAACGAGTGAACGTCAGTCATGCCTACTGTTTGTCTTGAGGAACTTTCAAAGCACAGTAATAATGATATCGGCGTCATTCCAAGTGCCAGCAGTAGGTTTTCATGGTGAAGCAGTCATATTATGAGGGTCAGACTATCAAGGGAATATTGCTTTCATGGCATTATGGGGAAACCGAGATGCGCTTGGCGGAGGTTGCACTCTCCTCCCTATTTTGTGAGCATGCATATAGGTGAAGGAAATTGACCCACATATGATGATTTTCAGATGAAACATCTTGCCAGGTGCAGCTGAGTTGGGCAGTGAGTAGGAGGACAGCAAACGTTGGCACTGCTGAGGTGTCCTAAAACAAGGCAGTGTGGTATTTGAGTGTTGTTCTCCAGCTGAACCTCTGAAAGAATATCTCTGTGCAGATGAACAGTGTGTCTCATCATCAAGGTTAGCCAGTGTTACGGCACTAGTGAATGCAGGGGACACTACACACACTCTGTTATGTTATGTTTGCTTTGTCAAAGGTGTTCATATGAGCACATATCTCTGTATATGTGTAGGAGGAATAAGAGCAAGGTGCCATAGTTTCACCTCCATTCTGTTTGCTTCTGTTTCTCTCTGTATGTTCATACTTGTACCGTTGAGTCACGTGGATACTTCAAAAATTAGGACGCACTTCAGGCTAAACATAGCACTGAGTAAACTTTGGGCTGCTCTGAGCTCCTATTGGAATGTGAAGACTGTGGACACACAGCCTACATAAAACCAGGAGGGAGGCGAGGAAAATGGCAGCTCTGTTTTGTTTTAATTCACTTGGCCCTGAATGAACCTCTTGTTATCAGAGTGCCTGATGCGTTCGCACTGCGGTTTCCTTCATAGATCGTGATAGTTTTCAGGTCACAGTTTATTGAAATCTTCAGTTTTTCAGCTGAAGAACTGAATAATGAGGAGGCACAGTTGGGCCTGGCCTGACAGCTTATGACAGAGGCTTGTAGGCTTTACTTGGAAGCACTATCAGAAGGTTTCTGATCAGTTTTTGGCAGAATTCAGTTATAACTGTATGACCGTGTCTGTAGTAATGCTCCCGTACAGAATACAGATGGAAAACTGCCTCCATGTGTCTTTGTCAGATAATCTCAGTGAACGCTGTAGCAACATTTAACAAAGACAGAAAGCATTCATGATGATGATTTGTTTGGTTATTGTGTCAGTGTTGATCCGTGCCAGTCATTCTGGGAGTGGCACTGGGTTTCAATACAGAGCGTATGTATCGCAGTTACAGCTGTTAATGACAGAGCACATTCTCTTTAACAATCATTTAATGATAAAATAAATAGGAATGGTTAATTCAGTTAAATACCTGACAAGTCACAGTATCACAGTGATTCTTGTACATCCAGTATTTCTATGAAATTGTACAGTTCATTATGCTGCAATGTTTCCATTGCAGACAGTCCTGCAAGGATATTTCACGATGGTGAATGCACTATGTTGAACTGTAGGTCAGATAAAACGAGCATTTTGAAGAGGTCAGCTTAGGTTTTTGGAAACTGCCATTTATTGTTTAGCTTTTTTTGACATTTCATATTCCAAACAAATCAGTTAAGTGAGATAATAATGGGTGTATTGCTCAATGATGGAATGTTTCTTGCAGCTCTAGTTTGGTGTGTGTTGAATACAGGTGGACAGTTAGTAATTAGTGTTGTCCACTTCCCCATGTGTGTTACTGCAGTCTTTGTTGTTGCCAGCTTTTCACTCTTGCGTGGAAAGTGTTTACATTAACGTCTCCTCCTCTGATATGCATACGGTCACCAAACGGCTGCTTTTCAGACTTCCAAGATTAACCAGGAGGGTGTAACGAGTGTGTGCACACACACTGTGTTTCCATGACTTCATGGGACATTACATGAGCTTACTCTCATTTCCTGGAGACTGACTTTAACCATAACCACTCCTTGCCTAACACCCAACCTCACCCTGACCTTAAACCAAGGCTTCACTCTAAAATATAATGAGTTATTATTGGAGGTTTGCTTTTTGTCCCCATAAGGACATCAAGTCCCCACAATGTCATTGTGTAAATAGATTTTGTATTTTTCTCCACATCCTCTGGTCACAGTGCAGCAGCAGGAGGTAAAATATATCCATAGAACCGGGCACAGTTGAAAAATTTCGCTTTTACAATGGCACCGGTGGTTGTCAGGCGAGCTCGCATGAACGCGCAACAGCCTAGAGATTATGCCCATTCAAGGAAATCCTTAGACTATCACATAATACTTAATTTTGTTAGGGAAAAAGTCTCGCAAGCAACAGTTTGTAAGATGGGTATAAACCAAGTTGCTTCTGCATAGAAGTACTAGAACATATGTAGGTACAACAGATTTTTTTAAGCTCTAGGTCACATCTAAGATGATAATTCTAACATTGTAGATAAGTCAAAAAACAAGGAAAAGTGCCACGGTCCCTTTAACTTGCATAGCCTCGTCAGCAACACTGACTTGAATGTAACAAAAGTTAGAAATAAATAAAAATGACAAACTAAATAACAGAACCATCTCGCCCCGAGAGAGAGAATTACATTTAGATTCATACAGCAATTAAATTCATCACCAGAAAATTAAGTAAGATTGAATGGTTTCCAAATTTTTACATGATGTAGTTTGCTTCTCAAAGTGTGTGTGTTTGAACCTGAAGCTCAGTAGCTGGGGATCAAACCTGGCTCATTGTGGTACTCGGCCAGTGTGGTTCCACTGTTCCAGGCTCCCAGACGTAGAAATTAAAAAAAAAAAAAGCAGTGTTAGTAGAGACATGTAGAATATCTTTTTAACATCCTGCTCATCCAGTGTGTTTCAGGGGACACCAAATGAGGTCAGTCTGATGTGTCTATTTTAACTGCCTGTTGGTGTGTGCTGAACATGGCCACAGACACACTAATGAGTTTACAGTCAAAGTGACCTTTGAATTTTGCCAGATGTAAGTTGATGTGTCTTTTAAGACTGTTCATGTTTCATCTGAGTCTGTCTCAGACCTTTTCCCTGTATTGAACTCTTTGTGTTTCTAACATTGATGCTGCCCAGGACAGTAATCCACTTTCCACACCTGCCATCCACACTAACCGTTGTCTCCTCCCTGCAGCACATAGTGAAGTGTCATGGCAGCACCCTGCTACCACAGTTCCTGGGGATGTATCGGGTGAGCGTGGACAGCGAGGAGGCCTACCTGATTGTCATGAGGAACATGTTCAGCCACAGGCTGGTAGTACACAGGAAGTACGACCTGAAGGTGATGAGGAACTGCACGACAAACAGTCACACATCCCAGCCCTTGTCACTGGTTCACAAAGCAATGTGGAAGTCCTACAGATATGACTTCTCTCTAACTTGGCCCTAGGATAACAGGCAACCTGCTAATTCACTGTAGAATTCTAATGTGACACTAATACTAGTGTATTGTTTGTTATTTTTCGAACAAAAGCTGCCAAACTTCCCCTTAGATCTGCTTCTCACTTTGCTTCTTTTCTCTGTACTGTGTCATTGTAAACTGAAAATCGTTGGACTGTTGGTCAGATGAAACAAGTAATATGACATCTGTGTGGATTTAATAGACCAAAACAGATGCACTTTTTAATTTAATATAAATACAAGTTTGTTGCATCCCTAATTCACACTTTTTTTTTTTTTTTTAAACAATGGTTTAACATTTTTCCACAGTTTGTCAGTCATGATATAGTTCCAATGGTTTGTTATTGCAGGGGTCTCTGGTGGCTCGTGAGGCAAGTGACAAAGAAAAGGTGAATAGAATAAATACCTTGCCTACCGTCTATTTTCTGTCGGTGTTTGGTCTCTCCCCTGTATCATGTAAAGCCTTCTAAATATTTATTGTTATCCTAAAGGAAAAAGAGCTTCCTACCTTCAAAGACATGGATTTCAGGAACAACATGCAGAAGGTGTACGTGACTGAGGAGCAGAAGGAAAAGTTGATGGAGAAGCTCAACAGGGACGTGGAGGTGAGCGACCTATTTCAGTGTTGAGCCCTCGCTGCTGTTGCACACCTCGACCACACAGCGGCAGCATCAACACATTAAGGAAGCACCACTCCTGTGTTGGCATTTTGGCAGTAGGCCGATGGGTGTCAAACTAATTTCATAGGGGAGAGTTATAGATGTGAGCTGAAACAATTAGGTGATTGAAGAGTAACTGAGCTGGTGTTATACTGTGATGATTAAGTGTTCCCTTAATTGTTAGTAATAATAGGTGAAGTCCCTTTTCCACCCATTGTTTTTCCTGCTGGTTGCACATTTCTTGATTGCACATTTTTCTTATTTGAATACACACAGTTTATTTATTTTAATTTATTGTAGCCTTACAAATCACAGTGAGAGCCTCTGTACCGGAGTCAAATTCCTTGCATGTCTAATCATACCTGATAAAGGTTCTGATCTATAAAATGCAGAGACCTTTTTGTTTCTGGCCAGTATTCTATCAATTATTGAAGCGACTGCTTCAGCTCTAGTTAACTTCATCTAGTAAAAAATGTCATAACAAACATCCCTCTCCCATTTTCTTCAGTTTCTAGTGAAGCTGAAGATCATGGATTACAGCCTGCTGCTCGGTATCCATGACGTGGGCCGAGGTGAACGGGAGGAGGAGGGTGAAGAGGTTTCCAACGAGGAGGAACAGGAAGCAGAGAATGGCCTGGCTCTGGGCCCGACTGTGGGCTCTTACGGCGCCTCTCCAGAAGGAATCGCCGGTTACATGTCTTCCTACAAACCTCTGGGGCCTGGGGAGTTTGACCCCATTGTCGATGTGTATGCAGTTGGGAGCTGCCCAGGTGAAGACTTGGTTCAGGCCACAAAATAAGATCATTCAAGACCTTAATTTGGGCGTCTATACAAACTAGACCTTGGAGTGTTGCCTATAGTCATTCGTTGATTCAGTTTCGATCAACCAATCAGTTAATCGCTTCAGCACTTGTATAATGTAGAACTAGAGCGATGAGTTGATTAAGAGACAAAATTTAAAATTGAGCAATGGTCTTATTTTTCAAGCAGAAATGTAAAGATTTAGCCATTCCCAGCTCCATAAATGTGAAGAAAATAATCGGCAGATTGATACAGATGACAGTATATGTTAGTTGTAGGCCTCATATACTCCATGAGACGACACAGCCAAAAGACTGGATCTGATTGTTTCCCTGAGGTCTGTGTGTTACAATTTCTGCTCCATTATCATAATCCAGGTCTTCCAGAAAATAACTGTCATGTGGTTTGAGATGTTTTGATGTTTATATCTTACCAGGGAGCTTTTATCTTTTGTCTCTAGAGGCCCGTCATTGCTGTTGTCAGTACAAGCCTAATAACGGAACCCTGATTTTCTGTGCCGTCATTTCAGGAGCCCCTCAGAGGGAGGTCTACTTCATGGGCCTGATTGATGTACTTACTCAGTATGACACCAAGAAGAAAGCGGCTCATGCCGCAAAAACTGTCAAACACGGGGTGAGTAGCACAGGAGGGAAAGGAGAGAGGCAGAGGGCTGCTGTCAGTTGTTCCAGCACAGAGGGCAGGTGTTAGATGCTTGCTCTCTTCCACGTTGTGAAATGTACGACCTATACAGATGATGTTGACAACCTCTTTTGTCTCTATCTTCTCTCTTGAATGCAGGCTGGTGCTGAAATCTCCACAGTGCACCCCGAGCAGTACGCCAAGCGTTTTCGTGACTTCATCTCAAATATTTTTGCATAACACTGAGCACACTGCCTCAAGTCATTGTAGCTGAAAGCTAAAAGTGAGTGCTACTGTTGACCAAAAATAGCATGCACGCACAGATCATTTAAACTTTATTATCTGAGGCAAGACTACTTGCTTATGATGGCGCATTATAATGTACTTCTTAAGATACATATTTATTTTTAAGATATATTTCTTATAGATATTAAGCACTCTTAATGGAAGAACTCTAGAGCAATAAGGCACATGGCAACAAACTGCTGCCGATCAGTGTTCACTGTGATAGACCACATCAGTGATAGATCAAATATCTTTGTTTTTTTAATGCCACTTTACTCTGGGTCCCCAAGGATGAACTAAACTTAAGTGAAGACTCTGATGTAATTAGAAATATGTTTAGTCACTGCAATGTCTAGAGTTAAATGAGAAGATCATTACCACATTCACATCTGTCCATGAAATGTGAAGCTATAGCCCCCAAGCTGTTAGCCTAGTTTAGCCAAAGACTGGAAACTGTATCTAGCAGCACCTCTAAAGCTCGATGATGGGTTAGAGGCTTCCTGAAGTCTTGAGAAACTGGCCCGGTCAATAATGATCTGGCTCATTACCCACTGTAAAACCTTGTTTCAGTTTTTTCTACAGATTAAACAAGATAGAACCTGTTAACTAGTGAACTTTAAAGAGTAGCTACACCTCACTGCACTGTATATGGAATCACATTGCTGGTATATGATGCTAATATACGGTAGGCCTTTTATATTTGCATCAACATTCATATTATGTGTAAAAGGAAAAAAAAAAAGAATTTAGCTAGTTTATGTAACCGTGGATTTGAAGGCTCAGCACAGTAAATGCTCTGCTCCCCCCACGGCTCTATAGCGACACTCCCACAGACGTACACATCAGAAAGCTTCTCGTGGTAGTGCCACACAGTTTGTAGTCACAAGGTGTTTCTCCCTCGCTCTTCTGTTGCATGTTTTTTTATGTTGGGAGAAAGGCATCTAGCAAAATGTGAGTGTTTAGTTACGTTTTTAAAGCTGCTGTGTACACAGATTCAGCTTCTTTGGACGGAGCCAATCTAGCTGTTTCTGGTCTTTGTTATAAGGTGAGCTACATATTTAACAGAGAGGTGTGTGTCAAAAGGACACTCCACTGATTTACCTTTGCACTCCTAGAATGCTAAACTCGCAGTGGATGGTTGAAAAATGATTCCACATGTTCATCTCTTTATCAAAACCCAGCACCAGCATTAACCACAATGCAACAGATTCAGGTGTGCTATGCTAGTAGCAGCTAATATAGGCTGCATCTGGAGCAGAAAGTCCAACAGCCACACCCACTTCATGCTTGATTGGCCAGAAAGAGACGTGCTTTCTCTCTCTAGCTCTTCTGTCATTTATTACAACTATTTCTGTCACCTTGCACATTTACACAATAACTAAGTGCAATACTATAAATGCCTTCCAGAAGAGACTATTGGGAAGTGGGCACTGTTAACACAGTAGTTATCAAAATCTTGTCTTGATCTTCTCATGTAACTCAGCAAGAAAACGAATCAGCATTGTTCTCAAAAATGTCAGTTTCTTTAAATTCTAGTTATCTTTAATAGAGATGGTGTTATAATAATGATACTCCAGACAGTATACCTTTAACATTATTTATCTACAGAAGCAGGCCATTTATGTTTCGAGTGCGAAATGTGTGGGATCAAAGCTTTATCTCAGCGGGGTTTCCACTTTGCATACAGTTCAGCTTCTTTGGACGGAGCCAATCTAGCTGTTTCTGGTCTTTGTTATAAGGTGAGCTTTGATCCCAGACATTTGGCACTCGAAACATAAATGGCCTGCTTCTGTAGATAAATAATGTTAAAGGTATACTGTCTGGACAGAGCAGTTCAGTTAAATTAAATTTGAATGGATCATATTAGCTTCCACCAAAGTCTAGTCAATTTTAAATGTAGCTACAGAACAAAATTGTCACTTGAAATATGAAATCTGTTGTATTTAAGCACATCAGATGCCTGTGTAACCGTGTCTACAGCTACAGAGAACATGGAGTGGCTGACTGGAGCACTTCTATTACCCACAGAGGAAAAGCGACTGTCCCCATTTTAGGATCAGTCCTGCCTTTTTAATAAATTGCATGTATGTCTGTATATAAAGCCAATCATTCAGACTCTGGAAAGACTCTTTTTGCACACTGGTATTTTGTGAATTCAAATGGAAAATGTGCATTATGTGACTCATTGTGATCAGTAAGACTTTAAAAATATATACAGCAATAGGAACTGTTGTCTGTGTATGGTAATGACATTTGAGATTTAGTCCTAACCAGGGTACTGTGTTAAACATCTTTGATGCTAACACTACATTTCTATAGCTTATGCAGGGAGCTTTAACAAAGCGAGATGATGCAACATTCCGAAACACTGGCGAGGCAGCAGACATACAGTGATACTCTGTATGATGTCTCATCTACTCCATAATTGCATATGTATTTTTGTAAATCAGCTTTTGGACCAAAATATATTTTACAAAGAATTTCTGAGCAGTGTTGGACTCATTATTTTTTGGGAAGACGTTTGTGTGAGAGTGGATTTATTTCATCTAGTGATGAGGTGCAGAAGGACACCGACACTACCAGCCTCTAACACGGGTCACTGCTCCTGTTGCTACAGATGTTCCTGTTCCTCTGACTTTGGTGATTTCTTGACTTTTCCTGTAGCACCACCAGCAGGTTTTCACTTTAGCTTTTACTGAAATATTTCAACAACTACAGTTGCAATCAGAAATATTCAACCACCAAAGATTTTTAAGAATTTATGAATAAAAATCTTTTCAAAGTGCAGGATTCTGCTTTGGATGACGTCTTTATGAGTTGAGTGATACATAAAATCAACACAGAAAATGTATGATGTAGTATTTGTGTGTAACAGTATATTTTGTTAAGATAGCCATGTCACAATTATTCAACCCCTAAATAATATTGTTTTTAAAGCTTTGACAGTTTTTATGGCCTAAAGTAGAGCTGAAACATCATTAAGCCTTTGGGAACTCTATAACAATCCTTCATTTGCTCCAGCTATGATGCATATATAAACCCCGACCATGAAGGTATTCAAGGTGAGTTGCAATCATGGGAAAGACAAAGGAGCTTCCACAAAAGCTGAGAGGAGATTATTTCATCACCTCTGAAGGGCCTCGGGTATAAGAAGATTTCCAAAGAGCATGACACTGAACCCCAAATTGCTCCCAGTGGCTTGACTAGCGCCGTTATGTGGCAGCCTGTCGTCATTGGTGTGTAAATGGTGTATGATCTGTAAAGCGCTTTGGCCAGTGCAACACACTGTGAGAAAGGAACATCAACAGTCGACTAGAATATGCCAGGAATTTGGATAAGACTACAGAGTTCTGGGAGACAGTTCTATGGACTGATGAAACCAAACTGGAACTGTTTGGACATATGGACCAGCAGTATGTCTGGCGTGCTTATGACCAGAAGAATACCATCCCTACTTGTCAAGCACGGAGGTGGGTCATTGATGATGTGGGGCTATTTTTCTGCGGCAGGAACTGGCAGTCTTGATCGTGTACCAGGCATCATGGATTCCTAGAAATACCAGGTCATTTTAAAGAAGAACGTGATGCCTTCTGTTGACAAATTAAACCTCGGTGATCATTGGATCTTCCAGCATGACAATGATCCCAAGTGCAGTTGAATAATCCTGCACATGCTCATGTGTTACAAGAGTTACAATTTTCATTTGAACTTCAAAGTTAAGTCAGCTTCTGTTGTCAAAATAACTCGTGTATTTGGTGGGATTTGAAGAAGGCAGTTGCAGCATGGAAGCCGTCAAACATCACTGAGCTAGAGGCTTTTGCACGTGAAGAATGGGCAAAGATTCCAATCGAGAGGTTAAGAAGCTTGTCAGCACTTATCGAAAACGTATGTTAGAAGTTATAAAAACTAAAGGATGCTCCACAAGGTACTGAAACTGGGGGTTGAATAATACTGCACATGCTCATGTGTTACAAGGGTTACAATTTTCATTTGAACTTCAAAGTCAAGTCAATTTCTGTTGTCAAAATAACTCAAATATGTATCAATAAATATTTTTTGTTATTTCAGAGTTTTTTTGCATTTATTTTCATTATCTTTCATCAACATCACTATAATGTCTTTTGAGGTGAGGGGGTTGAATATTTCTGATTGCAACTGTATGTATTTAATGGATTGGCACTTTTCTGCTAACGCCTAGGTTGACTTTTGTGGTTGTAAATGAATTATTTGACAACTACTGGGTTGTTAGCAATGTAATCTGGGACAGGACAGGCGTTCATCTTCCTCATAGGAAGAAATGTAATAACGTAGGTGATGCCATAACCTTTGATCTAGTGCCGTCATCTGCCAGATGTTCAGTTTGTCGGATACATTGACTTCATACCTCCAAAAATAATGGTCACAAAAGCCTCAGCTGTGCTTTGTATTCAGTGCTAATTTGCAAATGTTAGCATGCTGAAAGCTTCAGAGCCACTCATGAGGCTGAGCATCATCAGTCTTGTTGTAGCTAGTGAAAGTTGATCTCTGGGATATTTTACTGGTAGGTAAATGGTGTTTTACAGGTCAGAATATTAGGTAACCTATAGGTGTTTAACATTACAGTACGGTTTTTTCAGTCTCTGATAACACAGGGTCAGGGACTGCTTTTTGTCACGCTCTTTCCAGGACATGTTTCTGCTGACTGGTTCCTTCCTGTTTCATCAGAAGAGACCAAATTTGCTGACTGGTTCCAATGTGTTGTACCACAAAATGAATAATCATAGACGAAAGGATTCAAGCAGGATGAGCAGTGAGACAGAAAGTGAGTGTAACTGAAGGGGTGAGTAATACGCAAACTGGTGATGGTCCTGACAAAGAGCAGATCCTGTTGATCAGCATGAATCATGGCCGAAACCAGCGTGCTGCCTTTTTTCTGTATGACACTGACCCTAGATGTGAACAATCTGGGAGGCACTGAGCTCACCCATCTGGAGCTGCTCTAGGGTGCTCAGTGGGGCCATTCACTCAGAAGAGATAAAATTGTGCAAATTTAGATGAGCTTTTTTAAGACCACCATCCCTAATGTGAAATCTTAAACTCATGTCACTGCTCATGTTAAATAAACCAGTGCAGTCAAATAGCATCTGCTCTGTCACCTCCTGCACAGGCAGACGTAAGCCCAAAGACTGCTAAAATGTGACAAGGGTGTGTGTGCATCTAGGTTAAAGAGCCCCCTTCCTCCCCAGGCTTCCCACCTCCCCTGTACTCACTGGGCCCCACACCACTCGGGGACTTCCTGGCATTGTTCTATGTTGTGCTTGTTTTCATGCACCAGTTCAACCTGCCCTGTACATACAGTACAGGATCATGTCATTTAGGAAACACACTAATGCTGAGTTGATGCAAACGCCAAGTGATGCTACAGTAACCCGTGGGAACCAGTCCAATATGGAAAAAAAATGTGATTCGGGTTTTACAACCCCTAAGTAGAAATCCAGTGTGATGGCAATGTCAGTTTGTTAGTTGGTCATCACTTTGGTCCTGATTGGAATATCTCAACATCTACTGGATGGACTGCATAGCATTTGGTACAGATATCCATGTCTTTTTTTTTTTATTCATTAGTTTTAAGTTAGTTAGTTTGGAGACATCCGATATAAACTCATAATACCCCTGATGGAAACTGGCTGATTTTAAGTCTTATTCTGTTTGTACAAAGTTCCCCTGTGACTATAGAATATACCTTCTTGGAAAACCTTTTTTTTTTTGTCTGAAATAATTTTTTCCCCAGTTGCAAGTAACATTATGTTTGGCTGTGTGTGGTTGTCCCTGGATTTCTACATCTACACATTCCATTAAGGGATGTCCTGTGTGTGTGACCTGGTATTATCCATACTGTGGGGATGTACAGTATATCATTTACACAGTCATATTGTGGGGACTTGATGTCCTTATGAGGACAAAAAAGCAAGTCCTTAAAATGTAAATCACTCAATTTTAGCACGATGACTTGGTTTAAGGTTAGGAATGAGGGATAGGGTCAGTCAGGTGGTGGCTATGGTTATGGTTAGGATCAGTCTCCAGGAAATGTAAGGTAAGTCAGTGTAATGTCCCCTGACGTTAGAGAAAGGCAACATGTTTGTGTGTGTGTGTGTGTGCACATGCGTGTGTGTTAATGAGAAATGGGAGGGCAGAAACTCCTGGCTGTTTGATTGTTCAGATAGCTCTCAACATCACAGCTGGAAGGAGTTATCCTGTGTGTGCAGACTTCACACTGAAATCTCTCTGTAAGACAACAGAGCCTCAGGAAGGACCTGCCCTCTTCATCTCCAGTACACTCATCATCACAACAAGGTAGGGTTACGTTCAACTGTATATTTTGCCATATGTGTCCATTTTAAATGTGGGCATGAAAAGAGACCTCCACAGACTGTCCACATCAAAGTCAGTTGACAAGTGTTGTACTACTGCATTAAAAAACTCGGCTACTGTATAAAGACATGTCTATAAAGGAAGCTGTGCAAAATGCTGGCAGTTGCATTGTGGGTAATATAAGGTACCAGGTTTTAACAAATTAAAGGAATGCATAGAAGAAAAAGAGGTGATTCTGCTGCATCAGTTTTTAACTATGAGAACCATCTGTGGAGCTCTCAGTAAATGAAAACTGCTATAAATAAGTGCATTCAGCACTTCAGAGTGAGATATGTACTTGTTCTGCATGGTGCTTTTTAATAACCTGCTGTGGTTTTAGTATCCACTGCATTTCAACCCAGCATGCCTTCACAACCCCCGCCGTGTTTCCATTATGTAATGCCTGAAAACATAATCAGATTAACCCCAAAATAATCCAAACTCTGCTCAGATATGAAACAGTTTCCTTCTGCTTTTCCATCCAGACGATGTACGCTGAGGAGCATAACCACTCACTGAACCACACTCCATGGTTTATCCATGAGTGCACACTCGAGCTCGACACAGACTACCGCCGCATTGCCCTCTTCCTGCTCTACCTTTTCATCTTCATGGTGGGCCTGCTGGAGAACGCACTGGTTGTATGGGTCAACTGGCGTCGGCGCCACTCGGCCAATGGAGTTCTCTTCTGCATCATAAACGTGAGCCTGTCGGACTTGATGGTCATTGTGATCCTGCCGTTCTTCATGATGGAGGTGACCATGGACAAAGTCTGGCTGTGGGGCCGCTTCCTCTGCAAGGTCACCAACCTCATCTATGTGGTCAACTTCTACAGCAGCTCCTTCTTCCTGGCCTTCATGACCCTGGAGCGCTATCTGTCCCTGACCAGACCCTCATCTCCAGCCCTCTTTCCTGTGATGGGCCGGCGTCGCTGGGTACTCTGTGGAGGCCTGTGGGTGTTCTCCTTTTTCCTGGCTCTGATAGAGAATGTCCACGTGGATCTTCTGGAGTGGGCTGAGCCTGGCTGTTACATGCTGCCTGCACACAGCGAAATCGAATGGTTTGTGTCTGTGGCTTTCTTTTGCCTGGTCTTCCAGTTCCTGGGCCCCGCTACTGTCATCATCACCTGTAACGTGCTGATCGCTCGGGCAGTTCAAACAGCTCCAGATGTGCAAGGTCGGCGGGACGTTTGGTTGGTGCATGTGTACTCCCTGGTGTTTGTCATGTGCTGGCTGCCCTACCACCTGGTCACATTACTGTTGATCACAGATGACCTTAACCCCTTCGCCTTGACCTGCAACACAGTAGAAGTCCTCTACTTCTCGTACAGTGTCGTGCAGTGCCTGTCTCTCTTCCACTGTGTCGCTAACCCCATCCTCTACAACTTCCTTAGCAAGAGCTTTCGCAACAACTTGATCAATACTGTGGTGAACTACCTACCCAGAGAGGAGACTATGGACCAGGCAGGAGCAGGAAACCAGCCAAATGCTACCAGTGGAGGAAGGGGAGATCCGGGGAAGCAGCGCAAGTAAAGTAATGGCAGCCCCAGCCAGTCTGATGCTGGATCATAAGAAAGCTGCTGAGAGAGGAATAGCTTAAGCGAGGCATTTGGACTGAAGACGGAACAGAATCCAGTCCTAGTGCTGCAGAATACCAGAGGCATAAACTGTACATGTCATTTCACTGTGGTCATAGACTCATTGTGCTGCTCACTATGTAAAAGATGGGCTCACATCACCTCCCTCTCATAATCAACTGTTGTTGTTTTTTTATCATGTATCTGATCAAGGAAGGAAATGGGGGGTTTTTTCTCTTCAAGTTGCATTTCTCCTACAGCAGCTCATGGTAACCTCAACAATTTCATAGTAAAGGGGAAGCCTGCACTACCAGGAATGTGTGTGTAAATAGATCTGCTCTGTCCAGTGTCTGATAAGAGCAATCCTCATAAACGTCTTGCAAATGTGAGAATGTAACTGAGCAGACCTGGGTTTTATACCATAACACAAGATGCACCTCAGCTTGACATACACATTACTAAATACTTATTTATCTGTTTCTGGATGCTGCTGTAGTCAACAGGTTCTGTTAAATGTAATAAAGCTCCCCCAAACTGTTTGCATTCATTTACTTTGGAGAAGCTGAGTTGCATTTTGTACTTATAACAGCAGAGCGATGAGAAAAGCTTGACGACAGGCGTGTTTGGAAGCTTAATGCGTTTACTTTACTGAGTTTGCTGTTCTTGCCCTTGACTATTTCATTGCTTGCATTCACTGTTGATCTTTATTACGCTGACTTCCATTTGTTTCCAGCTAGAATGTCACATTCAGCATTTTATATAACATCCAGGCAGCAACAGGAAAAGGGGGTGTCAGATCACAGATGGCACAATAACAGGAAGACACTGGGCTTTAAAGGGGCAAAGTTCACGAGCCCCCGGAAGCAGGAAGCTCACAGTATTACACAGACCTCTGCAAGTTTGTGCTATAATTCTGATGATAGGTGGGTTTTTGTGGTGAAGGATGGAGTGAGAAGTTTCCCAAAAGAGATAATCACATCTTCCAATAGGTATATTTATTCTTTCCAAAAACAATTAAAAACCATTCAGAGATTTAGAAACACAAAGTATAAAGACATAAAAATAAATAGTTGCACTATTCTCATAAATATGAGGTAAGACAAATATCATGTGGACCTGTGATGGGCACTTAAATAGCTACAGCACAACATCCTTCACAGGCTTGAAACAAGTGAATACATCCTGTGACTAAATTACAGTTTTCATAAAAATGTTTCTTGAACATCAAAAAGTATTTGTGTTTCAATGGCAAAGAAAACTGAACTGTACTCCTTACTATTGGCGAGTCACGTATCTATAGTAAAACTTTACAGGACATAAAAAATTATACTGTGAAAACAGTGACTGCAGATATAGGAAAATAAGTTCTATGCTACAGTGAAGTGCTACTTTAATAAAGGTGTAATTATCAATCACTGACATTGAAAACTGATCCTGATATTTAAGTTGTAAAGATACAGACTTGTTTGGAGTGGATAATACCAGCACAGTACTGCATGACGGTCTCCCTCTTTCACTGACACACAACATGATACACTGCCACCAAGTGGCTTCATTTATCTTAGTTCCTAAACCTCCACGCAGTCCGACTCAGTGAACAGCGTCTGACAGTTAATATACCCACTACGTCCTAAAAGTCTAGGTCTATTATAGAGCTGAAATAATTCATCCATATGTTGATGGATTCAAAATTAATTTGCAACATCTTAGAAGATCTGCAAGAGCTTTATGAAGCAGAAATTCCACATGGTTTCAGCTTCTAATGTTAGAATTTGCCACAAAATATTGCTGGGTTTTTGGCCATTAGACAAAACCAGCAATTTAAACATGTCACCACTTTATAGAATAAATGATGATTTTTCTGAATCAAAAAGGAAAATTTATTAGTTAGCCCTAGTCTAGTATATGCAGTATATGGTCCACGACAACCAGACAGTGTCAGAGAGAGGGAAACGGGAGGAGGAGAGACGCACCAGTCTGACAAAGCCCATCAGGTGTCCACAGTGGGCAGCGGTTCTTTAGAGTGGTCACTGTACATGAAGGTCTGCTCAATGTTGAAGTCTGGGGGCAGGTGGTCCTTGTGGAGCTCCATGTGCGATGACACCAGCTTCAGCGTGGAGAAGTAAAGGCCGCAGACAGTGCAGCGGTACATCAGGGCGCCAGCATGCGTCTTCAGGTGGCAGATCATGGTGGAGCGGCCTCTGAAGAAGCGCAGGCAGACTTTGCACTGGTAGGGTTTCTCCCCGGTGTGGATGCGGAGGTGATAGGTGAACTCCCCAGAGTGGGCAAAGCGTTTGCCGCAGTAGCGACACCGGTACCATTTCCCACGAACCCCTGCTGCTCCAGCACCGCCGTCCTGCCCTGAACTCCCATTGGTCAGGCCCCCAGACGACAAGCTGTGTACTGGTCCCTGATACAACTTCTCCGGCACGCTGAAGCCCATTCCCAGGCCCAAACCCAGGTTGCTCATCTTAACAAGGCCGCCGGCATCCGGGGGAGATGAGGAGGAGGAGGAAGGTGGGGGGCACTCCAGAGACTGGTTAGCTTTACGTTTGCCCAGCCAGCCCTGGCTCCCACCCCCTCCCCCACTCCCCAGGGACTCGGTGGTGTGCAGGCTGAGGTGGTACTGGAAGGCAGAGGAGGAGCGGAAAGTCTGCGGGCAAAGAAAGCAATGCAACTCCTCCACTCCCACTACACCTCCTCCCCCGAGTCCATCTGCCCCGACTCTGCAAGCCCTCAGCACTGACTGCTCCCTCTCTTTAGCTGCCGCTTCCTCTGCGTGTGCAGCCATATGTCTGTCCAGCAGGTGGCGCTCTACGAAGCAGCATGCACAGTGTGGGCAGGTGAAGACTGGCAATGAGAGGTGGGTGAGGGCGTGCCACAGCAGGGAGCACAGGGAGAGCTGCGGCAGGTGACACACTCCACAGCTCAGGCTCTGGGGACACACATGGCTCAGCAGGTGGTCTTTGACAGTCTGAAGGAGGCCGGAGAGAAACAGGCAGAATGTGTGAGAATCTCATGAAAGCAGCTAAAGAGTCTTATGGTCTGTCCATGTCGGACGGTTTAATGTGAAATGATGCGAGATCTCTGGTATGTGCTGGTTATACAATGTAGTGTGTTTCATTCTCTGTTTGATTCCCACCAAGTTTTCTTGAAAGAGGACTAATGAACCTAATTTAAACTTCCTGCCCATTTAAAGGACCACGCTACGTTTTACAACTTCCACCCCTTGAGCTACTGTATTTACAGCAGAGCTGCAACTAACACTTTACTTTGCTTATTATTATTAATTAGATGTGAGGTCTATACAATGTGAAAAATACTATTTTTGCCTCCTAAAGCCAGAGTTGGTTTTCAAACAGCTTCTTTTGTCTGACCAATAATCCAAAACCCAAATGTATGCAACTGCCTAACATCACGTAAGAAAGAGAAAGGCAGCAAACCAAGTGACACGACAGAAGCTGAACCAAAAGAATGTTTGGTATTTTTAGTTGAAAAATCATCGCTGATCAATTTCTTTACTATCGACTAATCGATTACTAGAACTGTTTCAGTTCTACACCATATGCTTTAAATACAATGCACATGTTGACAGCGTTCTGAATGATTACCGATCATTGTGGCAGACAATCATTTAACTCCAGTTCAGTATTAAACTCAGGCTGGAGAGACTTGAAATCTGCCTGAGACAGATAAGGCAGCCCAGTGAAAGTCACTTTATTATGTTATCAATAATTAATGACATTATTATCAGGACTACTAGAAATAGTCCTTGTTGGTGCATTCAGGGGCTTGCAGGACATTCAAGACTTGAGAGCTGGTTGTCAGGGTCACCTTTAAGACAGGAACAGTCTTTTTTCCAATGCCCAGTTAATTATTCTTCTTTCTTTCACAACATCATAGCTTATCAATGTTTTGCATGTATGTCCGTTTTGGAAGAGGGATTCCTCCTCTGCTCTTTGAGCTTTCTTCCATTTTTACTCCAACTTCTAGGGAGTTTTTCTCATATACAGTTCGAGGCTATATATTAACTTGACTTTACTTTCAATACGCCAGCATGAAGTTCTGGTAAGACAGCTTTCAACAAACCCGTTTCCAGACATCTATCTGTTGGACTAATGAACACGGTGTTTGTCTCACTCCTTAACGATTCATTCACCCTCACTTAAACCAATCACTCACTACAGTGCGACTTCTGAAGAGTTCTTTAAAGTGTCAAAAAAGTAAACTGGAAAAAATCAGCTGGACTAGATTTCTAGGTCGAAGACGTTTCACCTCTCCTCCAAGAGAGGATCTGCACAGACATGTTAAAAAAGTACATTTTTAAGCACAATTCCTTGTTTCTATCAGTTTTAGGTATATGAAAGGAATGAAATGAAAGTAGAAAAACTATCTAAAAACCCTGGGTAAGCTTTGGTAAACTGTGGGCAGCTAGAAGATCTCTATGGCTTCCTGTACATAATGAACTTTAACATGCAATCCTCTAGTAAAAATACATTTTTACTAGAGGTGTAAAGGTCCACGTTGAACCGTTTCAGTCCAGGATTTTAGGTTTGCCACGGATGTGTACCAAATGCAATCTTTAACAGCAGTTAACAGTAGGTGTGTTTGTGATGCATCCACTCTCCCACAGGAATGTATTTAGTGATGGACCGGAGCACAATAAGCACACAGCACACTTAGCTTAGCCACGCTTTTGGCTAGTCATGACCAATGCAAAAGAGAAGCCTCCCTTCTCATTAGGGTCTCCTGATTGGGAACACTTCAGCTTCCCGGTGAAGTACAACAACAGACAGACCAGTGGATAAGTGTCTTATTGTTTATTGTGCTCTGGTCCCTGACTTAATGTGTTCATTCACCGGGGCAACTGGGGGTTCAGTGTCTTGCTCAACACTAACACGGAGGGGAGGAAAAAGCCACTAACTGAACCGTCAATCTTTGGGTTAGGAGACGACCCGCTCTACCTCCTGAGCCACAGCCGCCCCAAAGTAGTAGAGGTGGTTTGCAACAATGTTCTATTATATTTTACATCATTTAACTCATATACTGAGCTTCCATATGAATGCTCTCCCATTCACTATTTGTATATTATTGATGGTTATGTTTCAAATTTAAAACTTTTATGGTATTTTTCCCCTTACTGTATCAAAACTGAACCAAAACTTTTAAACCAAGGTACACACCAAACTGTCACCACTACTTCTCAGCTATTCTTAATAAGAATCTGCAGCATCAGGACTGTGTTGCTGTGGTTTGATTAGTTTTTACTGATGATATCCAAACAACTCACCGTCAATAGATTCAGCTGTCTTTTTAGGACATTCTGCTTGCAGGTTTACAATTTACGGTCACGTTATAATTTTACTACAATAGGATTTCACACAGGATGTTGACTGCATGCCTGAGGTTGATTTCTTTTTCACCCTGTTAAGGAGTTTTATTACTCTAATCAAGGGTCTGCGGACGGAGGGTGTCATTTGCTGTATAAACTGTGATCCACTTGATGCAAATTTGTGATTTTGGGTTGTATAAATAAAAGTGACTCAATCCCATCCATCCCACCTGACTGACAAGCTAATGTGTGTATATATATGTATATATAATTATAAACTGTTGTTGTCTCTTCTTTTTTTCCTATATAAATTCACATATTTGTCTTGCTGCTTTACAAAGCATGGTGAGAGCTTCTGTACCCGAGTCAAATTCCTTGTGTGTTCAATGTACTTGGCAAATAAATCAGATGCTGTGCTGTATGTATTAAACAGACCTGGCATTATGTCTGCAAATGCTTCCGGCTCACTTCAAAAATCACATTTAATGCACACCCACCTGGAAGTCCTTGCTGAAGGTTTTGGTGCACACTGTGCACTGCAGCTCGGAGCTCAGGCCTTGGCTGCTGTTGGTCAGCGCTCCCTGTGGTATGGTGTAAGGCGAAGATGTCTGACGGTGATGACGCAGCAGTTTGGTTTGGCTGCAGAACTGCAGGTGACACATGTCACAGGTGAAAAGCTGAACCCCAACGTGTGTGAGGGAGTGGGTGACACCGGCAGCGCGGTCTGGAAACGAGGCCCCACACACTTTGCAGAGCCCGAGCTCGGTCAGGTGGCTCTCAGCGTGTGTCCTGATGGCAGCTGGGTCTGCTGGGAGAGGCACCGAGCAGGCTTTACATGACAGCATGTTCCCTGTCACCTGGAGGAGTGAACAACATTAATTCTGCTCTAGGAACTCGCAGCCAAACAAGGTTTTGTACACCATAAAGTATTAGACAGGTATTTTAAGGTGATGTGAGGAGTGAAACACTGCATTAGTAAAGTGAGTTCAGCTAACAGACAGACACGTTACCTGGCTGCTTGAGTTCCCTCCCTCTCCATTCTCCACACACACAAGGTCATCTTCATCATCCTCTTCATCTCCCTCCTCCATGTAGTTCTCATCGTCGCTAAGCTCGATGATTTCCCCTGCCAGCTGTCTCCACTGCTCCTCCTCGGTTCCCTCCATTTCTCCGTTACCTTGCAGAGGCTCCCTCTCCTCCTCATTCTCTCCCTCCTCTTCCTCCTCCTCCTCTCCAAATACCAGCCTACCGTCTCGGTGCATGTCCACTGATCCCACCTGCTGGCTGCCTAGAGGCTCTCCTGAGGATGACGTTGGGGCACAGGCCTCAGCTCCAAGCTGAGCTGAGGAGTCAGGGAAGGAGCAGGAGTCAGATGGTGCAGGGTCACTGCTCTGAGGTAGAGAGCCTCCTGTGCTCTCACAAACCATTCGCCTGTCTCTGTCACCTTCCTCACAGCTGCCTCCTACCTCCTCCTCAATCTTCAGCTGCAGCACAGGCCCTGGAGGCAGTAGGCTGTCACTCTGACTGGAGTGGCTGCTGCTGGTTAAAAGATGTCCTCCTGGTAGTTGATGATCTGCTGACATTTGCCCATAATCGATATGTGACTGGACATCCTCTGCTTTCAGGTCCAGAGACAGAGCCGTTGACCTCCGCGGTTTGCCCTGCCTGTCCTTGCTTGGAAGAGAGGTGAAGGAGCTGCGGCAGGTGTTGGGGCTGCAGATGTGCCAGCTGATGAAGACAGAGATGAGCAGGAGGCAGCAGAGGAGCACATAGATAATGCAGACACAGAAGCTGCACTAACAACAGCCGCTGTTGATGTAGCATCAGCAACCATGCTGGAGTCCAGGGTGATGTCTCCAGGACTGCTGTCTTTACAGTTTGCAGATGCAGACGCTTGCAAGTCAGGGAAGGTAGCGTGACAGGCCCTCACCAGCTCACTGACCCCCAGCCTCTCAGCCAGCTCATAGAGGACCCCGACATCTATGAGATCAGTCAAGATCTCCCCCGTGTAGATGAATGTCAGCACCTTCTCGAAGTTGGCTGGGGAGATGAACTCCAGAGAGAAGGCAGTGGTGGGCGAGGCTGCAGACCGGGCGAACAGGTTGCGGAAGTATGTCCCGGTGCAGGCCAGCACCGCACGGTGTGCCGCAAATGTGCGGTTTCCAACTTGTAAGAACACATCACAGTAGCGACGCAACTGGCGGCAATGGTTGAGCTCAGCGAGAAGGCTGGGAGCATGGCCGGGACCCTGCAGCCGGATCCTCATCCCTGATGCTGCAGCTCCTGGAGCACTACAGCCCAACTGCAGGAACACACAGGACAGTCACCAATAATAGTCCCACGCAATCACTGGCTAACTGCATTGTGACTGCATGTGCCTACTTGTCTTCAAGTTAAACACACTGAACTGAAACAATGGTTTTCTGGAGAGCAATTAAAAATCCTCTGTGTTAAAACCTGGCCAGAAACGTCAGCAAAGTCATAGATTCAGACCTCATCCACATTATGACAATCGCAAAATCATCCCACTATCACCTTGAGTCTATCGAGTCATCATTCATCAAGACTTAGAAACACTTGTCCATGCTTACATCTGTGCTGCAGCTGAAGAGAGAGGTTGCCTGTTTGCCAAAGGATGGATTTTAAAATACTGTTGGTTCATAAAGTACTCATACATACATACATACATGTCTGATATGCTGTCCACAGCTCTCAGATCATCTGGGGAAGGTCTGTTTACTCAAGGTCTGCTCCAACTCTTTTAAATTTTAGCTCAAAGTTTCTCTGTTTGCATTTTATTCAACTAGATGTGAAACTATTCCTACCATCTCACATAATGCTGTAAAAATTTCCCTTAGGTTTGTTTGTATTTTTGGATTCAGTTGACTTTATGTTCGACTTCTCCCTCTGCTTTATGTACTAAATCCTATTTACTCTAGATTGAACAGCTTAGCAGTTGAACGGTGGTGGTACACAAATAAACTTGCCTGGTTATGAACAAGGTCAGATAGAATAATCTTTACCAATTCGTGACTGTAGGGATTGACAGCTGCTAAGTGCATTACCCTTCCAGGCTGTTGTTCTGATGAGCTGAATCCAACGTGAATTTGCCACGGACGTGTCATTCTAATTACTTTCTTGACTCATTTATTTACTGATTAAATGAAGTAGGTTAATAAGCAACTAATGCATCAACAGCCAAATGAAAATAGCTAGCACCCTGTGTCCTCCTTGGCTTTCAGAGGATGACACAGCTGGGAATGTTGTTATTCTAAAAGCAGTAGTTTTTCATTTTAGTTAGCTTCGTTTAATATTATAATGATTAATGTTATTTAGGGATTTGAGACCGTTTGGGTTAAATGCTTATAAAAATGCATAAGCATTTGTTTACACCAGAGTAGAAATGAACCACAGTAACAGAATAATGTAGAAATAACAGACTCTGGGTCTTTTATCGTGACCAGCCCTGAAATATACACCGAATGGGTGATTTTTGGAGCCTTACATCACAGTTTTCCCTGCCTGCTGCTCAACAAGGGGCTAGCGGAGCTTAGCCAGCTTTAACCACACAGCCCTGAAACGTTTCATCGGCTCTGCTCACGGACAGCTACATCACATTTTACACATTTGTTCGTCGCACCAACCATCCCTGTGCTAATGTGGCCGTCTCGTTTGTACCATTACTGTCGCTTACCCACTGAAAAATGTACACATGCGGTAGATATTCTTCTCTTTTATTATGTTTTCATGGGCACTCCGGTGGTCTTCTTCCTCGGCTTCTTTTTCTTCTTCTTTGGCATTTTTACGGCAGCTGGCATCCTCTTGGCTGCACCGCCGCCACCTCTTGATTTCAGTCCACGTCCCATCATCCATCATCCCCACTTCCTGAACAGGCGGGCTGCTGACAGGATGTGTGTACGTGTGTGTACAGTTTGTTGTTTGTTTGTTGTGTAGGGTCCTGCTCAGTTGTTTTTTTCTTTCCATCCATCCATCCATTTTTCTCTGCTTATCCGGGACCGGGTCGCGGGGGCAGCAGTCTAAGCAAAGATGCCCAGACCTCCCTCTCTCCAGACACTTCCTCCAGCTCCTCCGGGGAAATGCCGAGGCGTTCCCAGGC